GACATACACCGGCGATTGTTCGAATGTATAATACTATAACCAAATATTTGGACTTTCACCGACGTATTTTGTATGTGTTGACATTCTCTAATTTCGGTCTTTCATAGTAACACACATATATATATATATATATGTCATTTGTTATTTTTATTTGTATTTAAATTTTTGTTCTATTTTATTTATATTCGAATATCTTAGCCTGATGATGGCCAACAGATTTGGCTGAAAACATTTGCTTTTTCATTAAATTTTCTCAGCAAATTAAGGTGTTGTGTTTTTTTGATTTACATACTGCTGAGTGAGTGTACCTCAGTTTTTCCTAAATATTCTCACTAAAATGCATATAATATGCATTTTAGTGCATGTTTATATGCATAAAATATTTTAATGCTTATATGCATAAAATATGGTAATTTGAGGGATACAAAGTTACATCATTGGTACCAAGAAAAGCTGTCTTGTAGCTAACTGTAATTTTATTAAATTAAATACAATTAGTACTTGTCCTGTTTTTGCACAAATATTATTTATATATCCCAGATGTATGTATAGTGGAAACTGGTTAACTTAAACTGGGCTAACTTGAAGTCATTTTCTTTCCCTGATTGTCTAGAACAGCATTTCTCAAACTTTTGCTCTTGTGACTCAATATTTGTATGTAATGGTTCCAAGACCCGAATGTTTACAATATAAAATTTTTTAAAAAAAACCTGGTAAACTGGAGTCACTGTATATAAATAAAATGTTGCATTAATGTGGTTGTTAGTTGCATTATTGATAATTTCTACATGTGAAATGTAACATTGAGTATATTTCTGTTAAGAGCAGTTCAGGCCAGTTTTGATTGTAACAAATAACTTGCTTCAACTTCAGATTTTATTATTGAAATTTAACTATTAAAAAACATAAGACTGACAATTGAACCATTCACAGTCCAAATCGACTAAGTCCATTTGTAAATCCTTAATATAATTGTTATTGTTTTCAAATTTTTCGTGTAACTAATTTTATATATCATTATATTAAAACTATGCTTTAATATAATGATATATAAAAATACCTTCTGCAATGTTTATTTAAATTTAAAGTTTAAAGAAAATTTTAAAAAATAATTTATATTATCAATTTTTATACTTTTTGTTTTGTGGAGTTAATTGATTTGGAAAGAGAGTGGCTCAATTGTAAATAAGACCAACTGTTTCAAAATTATTTAGGAGTCTGTTTTACTTTGAAAAATACTACAAGTGCTTCTTATAAACTGAATGAACACTTTTATTAAAATGTACTTTTCAGATTGTAAGAAGATTTTGTCATTTTCATTTTGTATTTACACGAAAAAAAAAATTCCTTAAAAAGTATTTATTAACACAAGTGGATCACTTATGCCATTCCAAATTCATCCATTATTTATATTTTTATAATTTTTTGTTAAGGATAACAATACACCTAAAAGTTTGAATGAACAAGGAAACACATCATTAATGCTAAAATTATAAAATTTTATTGATTGCATTATTATTACAAAAATTATAGTAAATTTCTCAATTTCTTAGTTACTTTCCATCCACTTTGTACTTTGGCAATTTGAAGATGTTGCTAGATAAGGAAAGTAGCAGTTGAGAAAAACTTTAAGTAACAAAGAATTAGTCAGTTGCATGTGCTTGATCATTAATTAACTTCTCATATCCTCTTCTTATCTAGATGAAGAAAAAATAAAAGAGAATGAGAAAATAGAGAGTTGATTAGAATGGCCAAGATCTCATGTGGAGAAAAAGTATAATTCTGTGGGAACAAACTTTCAATGATGTTTTTATAATTTATTATTTGAAGGATATATTTTAAATTTAAAATTGTTGTCAAAATTGCTTTTTTGGAACTAAATGACTTTAAAATACTTATTCAGCTTAATATTTTTTATCTAATAATATCCTTCTTCATAGTATAACATGCAGCTAAACAAATTACAATATATCAACTTGCAATAGAAGTAAACATTTTCTTTCAATATGAAGGCTGCATCTGCTGTTTACATTAGTAAAGAGTCAGTTTTTATTACAGAATTAATAGTAATCTTTCTTAAACACTTCATCGGTAATTTTCATAATTTTTGCTCAAGGTTCATCTTGAATACGAAATGTTGTCATATATGTGTGACAATTTCTGTCAAAACTGTTTTAAAATCACCAACTTCAGCAAAGAGAAAAAGCAATAAATTGTATTCTAATTTTTAAGATTCTCTGTAAATAGGTATGGAGTAGTGGACCACACTGTAAGAAACAAACAGCTATTAGCATGCTATATAAGCCATGGCCAACAAGTCGATTGTGATAGACTGGTTAATCGTTGGCACATTTTTTTGTCGACCACAGATAATATGGCTTTTTAAAATGCAAAAAATGTAATTTTAATATGAATATTAAAACCATAATTTTATTATGGTGGATTATTAAATTTTTATGAAACAAATGTGGAGTAGATCATTAATGCTTTTGACTCCTGAAAGTTGATCACACACCATTATAAGTCAGGCCTGCTATAAATTATTACATCCATATTATTGTATTATTATAGTGATTTGAAATTTTTATCTAGTTCAATACTTCAAAAAAATTGTTCAAGAGCGTTAGAGTAGACAGTTACAGTAGAGTGTCAATTATCTGAATCAATTGGGGACTCGGAAATCAATTTTTCATATAACCGATTATGTATGAAAAAATACATTATTAATATAGTATATTAATATATCCCATGTTTAAATTTTTCTCCATTGCATGACGCTTTGCATTGAATTTTTGTCGATGTTAAGACTAACGAAAATTTTTATAATAATAATCGTTGCTATTGTATTGTTAAAAATTATTTCTTTATTTTGTACAAACAAAATAAATTTATTGAAAAATATAAAAACAAAAAAAAATTATACTTTAAAAAATACTTCAGAAGTTAATCTAGTATCAAAAACGTTCAATTCAGTACCACACAGTCTGACTGGAACGCTTTCAGTTAACTGATGGTTTGGTTGATTGGCATTTGGATAATCAACGCTCTACTGTATTGCTGTTTCTGTATTACTTAAAATAACATAAAATTATAGAAAAATTAAATGTAAAGATTTTTAGGATTATAATATATCATATATATTTTCTAAAAAATCTTAGTATAATATATATATTATATTCAATTTCTATATATATAACTTTTTTCAGGATGCAGGATAAAAATCAAAAATCCAAAGATTCACTTCATCCTTTATTACAAATATTGAAGAAAATTGATGTAGAATTAAGTAATAGTTTGAGTTTATCTGCTACTCCAACTTCTCCATTGGGTCAACTTCGTCCCTATATGAAATGGCTAGAAATATCATGTCATGGAGTGCCATGGTTGGGAGGATGTTTGGTGTGCATCTGGTTGTCGTCCAATCCTGAAACAAAAAGCTTTTTCCTGAATTTATTCCTGGGTAAGTTTTGTATCAATAAAGAGTGTTTGATGTTGCCATTGTTGATAAACATCTTTTGACTTATCACAGGTCTGGTGCTGGATATCATGCTTGTAGCAATACTGAAAGCTAGTATTCGAAGAAAGAGACCTACAAGTAACACAATGGACATGTTTATGACTGTTTCAATTGACAAGTTATCCTGTCCATCTGGACACACGTCTCGAGCTATATTTTTAGGATATATTTTTACACACGAATGCGCTCTTTGGTTACCATTTACAGTTATCATTGTAGCTTGGTGCATAGCTGTATGTATTTCACGAGTGCTATTAGGTCGGCATCATGTGGGAGATATGCTCTTTGGAGTTGTTTTGGGTTATATTGAATATAATTTTTTGTCTTGGATATGGCTGAATTCAGAAAGTGCACAGTACTTCCTAGGTTTCTTCTCAAGTGATTTGTATGATATGGAATGATTGTTAAACAATTATTAAATTTTGTTACATATAGCAAGCTATGTGAATTTCCCATAGCAAGCTGTGGGAAATTCTAAAGTGTATAGTTATATAAATGTAGTCATAGAACAAATTTCCAACTATTATTTTTCTTAATTTTATAAAAACTTCATAAATTCATTTTTATAGTTTATAATCTAGATTAATATTGTCCAATATTTATCTAATATAAATTATTCATTTTGAGTATAAATATTATTAATTTTTAATTTCTAAATAAAACCAGTAAAACTTCAATTACAAAATATTAAAATTAAATTTTTAATAAAATCAATATTCATCTAAGAAATCTCTAGAACAGGAATTTAATCATTCCAGATTATTTGTTTTTAAATTAATATATACTTTTTCTAAGTGATAGATTTTTGTATTTAAAAAGAAAAAATAAACTTTATAAGTCTTAAATGATTATAATAAACTCTTGCATATCAAATATTAGTGCAAAATTCTCAATCCTGATTCATTATTGTGCATTTTTTAATTTATATTTTGCATAAGAATAGAAGTTTATAAAATAAATCCTGTTATGATATAAATTTTTTAAAAATCTTATTCTTTGTTTTTTTATATGTATGTTTTACAGAGTGACCAGAATGTACTGTACTTAATATTCTAGTTATAAATCTATATGCTATACTTTTCTTCATTTTCTGTAGAAGTTTTAATTTTTTTCATGTTTTTTTGTACATTACTTTCAACCAGTGATAAGAAATATAATTTCTGATTATTACCTTTAGGACTTCAACTAACTTTTTGGAAACTGCAATTTACTTAAAACATTTTTTTGAAGATTACTGTAATCATAAAAGTTCAACATGTGTAAATATTGATTACTTTTACCATTGTGACACACCATCCTGTTTATATTGAATTCTTTACCACATATACAGTGAGGGAATGATCATCCAAATGAAAAACCTAAGCTCTTGTGCCACAAAAATCCCAAATCCAACCAACCAATTTAATGAAAGAAGAAAGACTACATTAAATGCAAAATGCTTTCATGTGTCCTGATTCTTCCTATACTATGCTTCACATCATGTGTCAGGCATAGTGTTATCATATATGGCCTTTTTCATTATGGATGATAGATACAATAGATCAACCAGCATGGGTAAAGGATGGAGAACCATATTATGGTTTTTACTATCTATCAAAAGAATTGCAAAATCTGGATTCAATAATGCAGTAATCTGATACTTTATTGTATGAACATCCAGCCTACTCTATAAATATTAATGCAATTAGTGACTTAAGTTTGCAGAGATTGTAAGTTCAATCTTATCCCATGTTAATCATTTTTCTGTACATCTCTAAATTAATAACAGTTATTTTTTATTTGCTCGAATGATAAATATTACAAATCTGTTGAACATGGAGAAATGAACTTTGACAAATTTAACAATTTTTTAAATGCATTTCCAAAGTTTAATTAATTAATTATTGATGATGTAATATATTTAAATCATTAGAAATTCTTACTATATAATTATATAATTTTTATTTTATACATTTCATTTTCTAGCATATGTGATTCCAAAACCTTGCTATAACAACTAAAATCCCTTATAAGGATGGATCAATTAATAACCAGCTGAAAGCAACAGCGTGGAATATATAAACATTTTATTTTAACAGTAATTGCCCTCTGTTGTTCAGCCACTTATCCCAGTGTGTGACACAAGCCTACTTATATACCTTGTTTAAAGAATTTAGTGGGATTTAGCAGAGTGAATTATAGACCATAGCTTGCATTTTGGCATCCAAGAAAACTGCTGCCTTTAAGGGCTTTTTCAGTTCTCCAAAAACATGAAAATTGTAGGTAAACAGTCTAGACTGTACGATGATGTTTAAGCACCTCTGGCTCTGTGAGGACATCCTTTGTCATGAAGCATGCCCTCACAGAGCCAGAAAGATGATCTATTTATGAGTTGGAAAACTCATAAATAGGTTGCCTGCATTGAATTTGCATTTTTAATGTGTGCAAGGTATTGCTGCAGTAACTCAAGAGGGAGATGCTCTAATGATTGAAAAGAGAGTAAGCATCATCTTCCCTGCTGATGTTTGTAGGACATTGTTTTTGCTGAGTAGTAGCAACAATGAATGTTTTCACACATACTAGAATGCTTCATTTTTGAATTGTAATGGAAACACCATGTGACCTCCTATCATGTGATGTAAAAAAATGAACCTTGCAAAGTAAAATGTGTGAAATGCTCCAGTGACAAATCCATCCAGAGTTTGGTCTGTTCTTTGTTGAGAGAATGCGGTACCTGCTGTGCACACACTTTCCTGAAATGCAAATGTTCATGCATAGTAATAAAATCAGTTTACTGCAGTTGCAATGTCATTATCCTGTTACAAACACAACATCTTCCACCATTTGCATATTTTGTGGTGTGGCTGCATGTTGCAGATGTCCTAATTGTTGCTTGTCAGTCTTTCCCAAAAGTTTTTTGTCTATATCTTAACCTGGGCAAGTCTTAGGATGTATGTACCATACACTTGCTGTATTCACCAATGAATTGCAGTGGTCCCACAACCTTCTGCAACTAACAACCTGATTACATCTTATTGCTAAATTCTGGATGCTTCCATTTTCCACCATGATCATGTAAACAAATCATTGAAGCTATTTGATTGATTAAGGCCACCTTACATAAGGATGCACTGTATATTCACATGCAAATTTTTTGCTTTGTGCGACTCTTATTGGCCAGTTATTTATTGATCCACCATTATAACTCAACATTGTGGATTACTAATTACATGTTTCCCATGTCTCTCTAAAGCACTACAGACTGTTAGAAACTTAAATGTAGACTGGTATTAACACTTGCATCTTTTTAGAAACCATTGCTTGTAAAAAAAAAAGGTTGAATATAAGTAAAAAGAGACAGAATAGATAGATCACAAACAACTGCAATGTAATCCAAGTGAATGCATGCACATGTGATTATCTGTGGCCATTCAGTGAACAAATTTGGCAATTGTGGGAATTTTAAATTATTTCATATAATTCTATTCAGGTATCAGAACTTCAGAAATATTATTTTTTATCAGTAATTTTTAAACATTGAAATAATTAATAATTATTTGTAGAAAATATAAAACTTTTTATCATTTATTTTATGATGATAAATTATTATGTTTATTATTTTGAATAAAGTACAAGTAAAAAAAAAGTATGTAATTGAATTTTTATCTAATAATTTGTGGTTTAATATAAAAAACTAACAAACTGTAATTAAATATTTTCATTTAAATTCAGTTATTTTGTTATCAACTTATATATTGAAGTTTATTTTAGTAGGAATTTTAAAAAGATTTATTATGCAATTTTTCTTTGAAATTATTAATTTCAGGATGGAAAGGATAAAATTGATTGGGTAAGATTACAAATGAAGAATTATTGAAGAGAATAGAGCTGTTAAAGAAGATAAGGAAAAGACAACTGTATTAATTAGCAGAATACTGGAGAGTGTGTTGCTAAGATGGTCAAATAGTTGACAACTAAGTCTGTGCTGAGATTCAATTCCAAATCCAGTTGGGATCTTCAGTAATTTTTGGCTTGATAATATCTGCCATTCATCACTAGTGAACCTGCAATAAGCTTGAGTAAATATGTTCAGTGCTCTGTGTAAAAAAGTCAGAGAGGCTATCTTACAATAATTATGTTGAGGAGTATTAATGGCAAGTTTGTTATCAATATATTCCTGATGAGCAAACCCAATTAAACAATTTGAAACATTAATAACTGATAATTTGATGATTAATACACTGGTTTGATCAAAAATTAAAAATCGAAAGAAACATTCACTGCTTCTTTCTAAATATGATGCCAAGTTTCATTCAATTTCAGTCATGCATAAAAATCAGATCAAGATGATTATTGAAATTTCAATTTTAACTAGAAATTAGTTTTTTTAATTTTAAAATCATATTTTTGATTCTGACTCACTTTTTCACTCATCCAAAATAGAGACATGTTGTAGAATTAATGGGATCTTACGTGTTCAAAACAATAATTAAGAAGATATTGTGATAGATTATGTGATGCCTTATGTACAGTACATTTTTTGGCTATTTTGCTCAACTGTTAAATTAGTACAAATGAATTTTGTTGGTTATGAGTATTTAATTTAAAAAAAAGAAATGTAATAATTAAAAAACTTTCAAGATGATGATATGATGCAGAATTAAAATGAAAAAGTTATTGTATATGGAAATAGCACTGCCAAATATTTCACTTGTGGCATTTGTTTTATTTAACAAAATTAAAAATTTGTTTCATGATAAATAAAAGTATATGGCATATATTCAGACCTTAAACAAAATCTTGTCAATATTCTTCTCAAATTTTAAACCACTAAACTTTTTGCAGTTGTATTCAATTTCTTTTCATTTTCAGAGGTTTCATAATCTATCAATTTACTTAATACATTCAGGTTTAGTCCAGATCAAATTCCTGCTGTTTGTTTTTTAAATCTCTGAAATCTCTCAGTAATCCGTGCAAAACTCGTTATATTCAATCCAGCTTTCTATTTGATGGCTTTCTTCAACAATTATTCCAATTCTTAAGAAAGATAAAAATACTGTTTGCTCTATTATACTTTCTCAAGCAACAATAAAGATTTTTGAAATTGTATATATCAGGGGTGGCCAACCTGCGGCTCGCGAGCCACATGCGGCTCTTTGAAGGATTATTTGTGGCTCTCGATAAATGTACCCGAGTTCCCTTTTCATTTTTGTGTTACAGTATTATATTTTAAAAAATTATTATCGTTCCGTATGTGTTTCAAAATGTCTTTTAAATTACTAACAACAAATATGAAAGGCTAAGTGTAACATTGTAACAAATTTCATTTCCGTCCAAGTTAAGAATGATATGACTCATCGAAAACTGCGCAAACGAACATAAACAGTGTCGTAATCGTCCATTATCGACAGACTCCAGACCGATTTTGAATTTGTAAACTGTCATTGCAATGGAAAGTTGACATTGTGCTCTGGAGGGAACAATTTGTATCACTCTTGCTACGGATATAATTTGTAGTTGGAATTTTTTGCATACCTTTTTAATACGTATTTAATTGCGGCTTGCAAAAAATTTCAAATTTTGAAAAATGGCTCAGACTATCAAGGAGCTTGGCCACCCTGGGTATATATTGTAGAATTTATTCTCCATTATCAAGTAAGCTTTTACCCATTTAACATCTCTTGACAACAATGAATTTGATACAAGCTTTATTGGGCTGCATTTGAAAAAATTGTTGACCTATAAATTCCCACTGTTGTCTGTCTTAATATTAAGAATAGTTAGATAGATGTAAGCTGAAACCAGATATGGAAAGTTAGGGGCAGGAGGCCCCAATTAACTATATATGAACTTCTGGTCAGATCAGAAGTCTCATGAATTCACTTCAAAAATTTTTCCCTGAAAGGAGTTAGATAGTAATAGTCATACCAGTCATCTAACAGGAAAAGTATGATGTGCAGGAGCAAGACACCACTAATTTGAGGTAGAGAGAATATATTTTAAATTTAAAAAATATGATTAAAAATTGCAGCATTCATTGCTCATCTTATTATTTTTTTTTTAGTACAATTGGAAACTTCTTATATAAGAAATGATTTAAAAAATAAGCAGTGCTTTTTGATTCCATCTTACCTAATATTCTTAGAATACTTTGAATATGATATTGACCCATCACTTAATAATTAAGCCATGAATGATTTCTTGTTAAAAACATGTAAAATTAAAATAGATGATTATGTTTTCCTTGACTTTGTTCCTTTATGTGGCATTCAAAAGGGTTCAATTCTCAGTAGTCTTTTCTTTTCACATCTTAATCACCTCCTTTGCCACTTTAAATCTCATATTGTAGCTTATGCCAATTACATTAAATTTTGTTCCAATTCATCAATCTTACAATCCAACAACCTTTTGGTGAAAAATTAATTAAATCTGCTAATCTGAAAATTAATGTAAAAAACTGTGTTTATGTGTTTTGTTCTGATCTGCAATCCTCCCTTACCTGCTTTTACATTGACTCTGTTCCCATTATGTTATATCTTTTAATGATTTGGGCATAATTTTTGATAATCTTATTTTAAAACTCACATTGTTAAGTTGGTTACATCTTTTCTAAAAGTGCCTTGAGGGCTATTTTTTTTTTTAACCAACTTTCAGTCTTGTATTGATTACAGAATGTCCATTTTGACTGACAGTACCATCCCTTTTGGACAAGTTTGCTCATGCTCCAGATAAGATTTATTTTTCTTTTAACAAATTATGCAACTTACTCTATACTCAAGATCCTAGCATTGCTAGGGTTAGACTGGGTTTTCCATTATTCTTTGAGTGGATAAAATATTTTGATTATTAAAAAATTTGTAATAAAACAAATGATCTCATTTATTCAGATTGGCTTTCTTTGTGAATACCTCCAAGAAATCTATGCTTGCAAACTTCTTTGTTTGATATAAGCTTAAGAGAAAAATCTTTATTTCTTGCAATCTAAATTAATATGTAAAAAGGTGTTGTATAATTTTTATGTATTTAGTTTATTTTTTATATATATTTGATTACTTTTGTTTTTGAGTGAATCCCAAAATTTGGTCATGGTGCATCTTAAAATTTACTATATTTCAGTTCTATTTGGTGTATGCTCTTGAGGTTCAAAAGTTTTGAACATTAATTTATTATACTATGATTTTTCAATATTGCAGTTTATTCAGGTTATTAGCACTATTGTGTACTTATTTTTTTTGTTCAGTGTTTTGAAATAAATGTTTGAAATTTTTAACTTTAAATATGTGCTCTAGAAAAAGTAATGATTTTATTTGGATTTTCAAGCCAGATAAATTAGTTTAAAAAACTGTTATTGGCACTAAAACAGTCTTTTTTCCTATCCATCATAGCTTTATAGGTCCACAATGAGAACAATTGGATGGCACAAGATAGATCCAACATTTCCAAGTTGACCCACCTTGAATCTGGGTTTCTAGAGCAGCAGTCAGTAGTGAAGATCATTTCTAAATCTTGCCTAAAAGTTTTTCCTCAAATTTGAGAAAAAACATACAATGGTCTTTTTCAAAGAGAATGTTGAATCTTAAAGATCTTGAAAATCTAGAGCAAATATCTATGTAGTGTTCTCAAGCTGGGCCATAGTATTTTGTAACTTTTAACAAGTTCAAAGAAACAGAGTTCATATTCTGTTATGTATCAAACTGTTTGCATATAAATAAATCATCACTTCATGTAATAAAATAAGAAAATTACACAAGATTGTAAACCTTAGTTTCTATTCAACAAAAGAAATTTCTAATAGATATTTTTAAATTTTGATCAGCTGCTCTTGTTTATAAATAATGCCATTCTTTAAACAAAATATTTTATTTACAAAATTACATTTCATGAAAATTTTCAAGTTATTTTCCATTTGTCTGCTTTTGTTTCAACAAAATTTACCAGACCAGAACCAAGAATACTGAAATCTTCAATAATAGCTTCCACATTTAAAATGACTTTTGGAGGTTGCATTTCACGTATTTTTCGACAGCTAAGATATGACACCTGTTTAAAATGCAATAAAATTTATGAGTAATATAGATTAAAAAATCTATTTAGAGTGAGTACTTAGCAAGAACAATTATTAATAATATAATAAAGTCTATGGATTTGTTTGGTATCTTTCTCCAGATAGCACTACTACTAAAAATAACAATAAACGCATTGGATATAATAAAATCATCATCATCAATAATACAAAGTCATATTGTTTACCAGATGGTGCTATTTCATACCATGATGCTTCATGGTATGTCGATGTCCAAAAGAAAGCAAAGCAAGGAATCCTTTTACCAGACTACAGAATTTTTGATATAATTTCATATCTGGGACACAAATGGCAGAAACATCTACAGTTATGATCTGCCATGTTGTGTCAGGCTGACAAGTGAGTAGTGTTTGATGGAAACATAAACTAAGGGAAGGGATGGAATAAATACATCTCACTGTAACATATTAACAAGGAAGCTCTGACTGGGATAAAAAGATTGAACATTAACTACATAGTTCACTGCCATGCTTGGTGAGAAACTATGTAGTCTTTAATAATAATTAACTTTGTTTCCCAGTTACATCTATTATTGCTTGTTCATGTACTGTACACCATCATGTAATACTGTAAAAAAATGATAGTATAAGAGAAAAATGTAAAGTAATATTCCCTATGAATGTAAGCAATTCAGCATAAAAAGCACTACCTTTAACCTAATAATTAACAGTAGTCATTATTTCTATGTACAAATAATTTTCCTTCATTGAATTAAACCCTCCTCTTAATACAAATTGTGAAAAATATTTAGAAAATATTCTTTGATAATTATCTGATATATAAAGAATGAACTTTGTTCTGTTTTTGATTTTTTCCATATCAATAAAGTACTTAAAATGATTTTAATGATGTCATTTGTATAATTGTAAATGCCAGTTATATAAAGTCAGATTCTTGTAAAGATATTCCACAATTGCTATATTGACCATTAAAGTCCTTGAAAAAGTAAGCATAAACATTAACCACATTTGCAAATTACTTTTTTCCCAATGAATTTCAACTATGGTGTATTTGTTTTTTATTCATGGAAATAAAGTTCATTCTTTGTATATTTCTTCAGTTCTGTTTGATATCTTTATTAACTGGCATAACTAACATTTTATGATATGTGAAATTTAATGTTCTGACATCTGAAAAATATAATTTCTGAAGTTTGCAACTGTTTGCTGCAGCTGTAACTTTAAATTTTATAAGCATCAGACAATTAAAAATTAAGATTTCATGTATAGTGATGGCATTGTATTTGTATACAGGATACATAGTAAAGTCCTTGTACCCCATGTAACTGACAAGTGCTAATAGTCACTTTACTACTATATTTTGGCAGAATGACCAGCATGCCCATTAAACTGCAACTAATTAATTAATTAATTTCTTTATTTTAATCAGATCTAACAAAACTAGTTGTTAATTAAATGTTAAAGAAAACATTATTCCCAGTACAATAATATAACAACATCGTAACTTGACTGACGTAAACAAAAACTCTTCCTGATTTTAAAAGACAATAGTGAGGTTGAGGCCAAAGTTTTAAATGCAAAAATGTGTATGTCAGACATTCAGCACTGCTTTCCTGTAAGTCTAGAAGTTTGTCAGTGGAATCATGCTCAACATTCCAAACACCATTGTTAAACTTCTAGGCTTACAGGAAAGCAGTGCTGAGTGTCTGACATACACGTTTTGCATTTAAAACTTTGGCCTCAACCTCTCCATTAAAACAATTAATGACGTAGTAGTAGATAGTAGATAGTCAGTCAGTGTGAGTTACACTGACCATCCACCCCACCTTAAATCTAATAACACCTTCCAAATTTCACACAAAGCCTATGTTAATGGATATAAGATGAGAATTTACAGCCAGTTTCTTAAATTTAATATGTTTATTTCTACATTTTTGAATCAAATAACAAAATATACATTAAAAAAAACACTTTCAAAATTATACGAGTACAATTACACGTATTTTACATTGTTAGAAAAAAGACAAAATGAAGAAATTACACATATAATTATAGTTTTTGATGTAATGCTGACAGTTTCACAGTTTTTGAATAAAAACTTGTTCTTATAATGTGATTTTTTAAGAGGGATGTATAACCTCATTTAAAACGGCATGCCAGCTTTTACCGTACGGAAATATCTAACTGACTGATTTCATGGTCTCCCAGATAGACCGGCATGCTGATCATTTTGCAAAAATACAGTATAACTATAAGTATTCATGTTTTTAACTGTAGCTATGTGCTATGATATTGCTTTCAGCACTCATTTCTCAAACAATGCACAATATGAAAAAAGTCAGTTAAAAAGTTGTAGAGCATAACCCATTTAGTATGAAAGGTCACACTGTGTACATGAATAGCATGAATAAGAAGTATAAAATGCTAATTTGTTGGTATTCAATTCTCATCAATGCTATGTCACTAATCACATCACACAGCATGGGAAGTGAAACCACATGTTAGATGTACAGTATTATTCCAATGAGATGCTTTAAGCTCAAAACAATGTGTATTTCCTATTCTGTCTCTATTTCTCGTAATTTGCTGCTTTGTGATGCAGAATTGACAAATGGAATACTGTAAGGTCTCTTTTTATGCGGATTATTTTTATGCGATTTTGAAGTTGTGCGGTTTGTATTTTATCCAAAAATTTCTTGGACAAACATACATATAGGCTTATTTAGGAAGTCCGCGTATAGACAGTCTCCAAAAATCGTGGAACGCTCAAAGCTCACTCCATTTGTTCCACTGACATATAACGTTTATGGATGTAAAGGACAGCTAGATCTACCCTAATCGCTTTAGTTCCTAGCAATTTTTGATATAAATGTAATTAAACATAAAAAATATTTAAAACTGGAAAAAAAACGAAAGAAATGTGTTAATTTTGAAGAAAAAGCTTCAAAGTTTAACTTCCTTTGTCTCGCCCTTCTGTGAAATTTAACACCGATGATTCATTGTTTACACATCTGGATGACCTTGAACACAGCTGGAGTTGGATTTCCCAGGCATTCTCATAGACGTGGCGGGAGGACAAGGATTTAAAGTAGGGTGAACACTAGCTGGCCGTATATTTTTAAAAAATTTGGAGACTTAAAAAACATTCCAAAAATTCAAAAAATAAAAAATTTCAAAAATCCTTAAGGACAGTGTTTTATGTAACGCTATGTAACCTGCCCGAGTTAACTCGGGCGCGGAACTAAAGGGGTCTTAATTAACTCTTCACATCCAGATGTCAGTGATTTGTTTTTAGAGTGAGCTTTTGCAATTCAGGGATTCCCCTTGTACATGATACCATCGACAAGTCGCTATTACGTCATTCTGAGTTTTGCATTGAAAGGTATAAACGGTAATTGTTTTGAAATTAAATTTTATTTAAGCGATGTTTTGTTCATTTTTATAATAAGTAGCGAGTTTAAATTTTGCTGATTTCAAGTTGCAGTAATAAGCAGCCTATTTCTTTTAATTTCTGCAAACTTTTTTTATGCGGTTTTAAGTTAATTTTAACTCGTTGTTTTGGTTTTATGCGATTTTAGAAAATTACGGAACATATCCCTACTTTTTCAAGGCAAGTAAAGTCTTTTTTTATGTGAATTTTTTATATGCACTTTTCTGTAGAACGTATCCACCGCATAAAACGAGACCTTACAGTACCAGTAAATTAGCATTTCATGCTTTCTATTCATATATGAAGGGTGTCATGTTCTCAAACTTTGTAATTGTCTTTTTTCTGTATCATGCATTGTTTTCCAGATAGGAGGACTAACTTCTAAATTTTACTGCTAGAGGCACTGTGAGCAGTCTTGTCTTGTAGTACATCTATAGTTATAGTAAAGTGACTAAAACATATAACTATAGTTATGAATATGATATAGTTAAATCCATTTATATGAATTTATAAGGGCTTTATTAAGCATGCTGTATATTCTATCCAAAAACACTAAAAACTTAAGAATTTTTTTTTCTTTAGATAGCTATTGAGAATGTAAAATATAGTTATAAAACAAACAACGCCCTAATAATCAAACCAACAACAATCATTACTTGTGTTGTATATAGTTCAAACCCTGCTTTGATTGTTAGAGTTTAGAGTACTTCCATAAAAAAAATAATTGTTTTCATATAACATACCTTGATATCCTGTGCTTCAAAAGCTTTAGGTTTCCATAATACATATATTGCATCACCACCACAATGATCATAAAAGAAAAGTGCTATCTCTTCAAAGCAAGCCTTAAATAAATTAAAGGAGATTAATGGCAGTTTATGTAAGAGAGAAAGGAAAAATTCAACAAAATACCCTTAATTCTTTCAAGTAGCAGAGAACTGGATCAAAATTAACTATCGGCATCTTTTCATTATTAACATATTTATATTTTTTGTAAATGGGTGGATTGAATTTTGAAGTGATGTCGATGGCCTGATAATATTTTGGCACATAATAAGGATTTAAATGTATTATGATGTCATAGAGACCAATGGGAGGACGAAATATTTGCTAAAAAAAGAAATTTTTGTATTAAACAAAATATTAATGATATCTTTTTACAAAACATTTTAATTAGAGATTACAGTTAAAAAATAATACAGTTAATTAGAGATTACAGTTAGTAAAATATATTAATAGCCAGATTGACTTGCTATTAACAATAGGTTTGTTTCCATCTATTGAAAGTTATACAATTGGGGTCAAATAAACCATTTCTGAATAGAACATTGATCAGTCATTGGGCTACAATTTTTTCAAATTGAAGCCCAGTGAACATATTTAAAGTATCATTTTTTATTAGAAATTGAAAATTAAGGCAACTGGATCCCAAACAAAACAAAAAAAAATCCAGTTCTATATCAGGTGAGAGGAAAAAAAATAAACTTTTTTTTTTAGGATGGCATAGGACTGATATTTTGACTACTGTCCTTGATAGAAAATATGAATTCTTCAGACTATGAAATACTACTACATCTATAAAAATTTGGAACACTAGTAATATGCTGATCAAAGATTTATTATATGCATAGAGATCCTTAATGAAAAACTGTAATGTTAATTAAATATTCTTTAACAAATATTAATATATTTACTAGCTCAAATGCTTAAAGAGAATTAATTTTAGATAGAATATGTATAAAATATAAAAAAATTCCAAACTAAATGCTACAAACAATATAAAAAAAATTTCTGAAGTCTCCATACCTTAGTGTCACATGGTTCACAGTTAATAAAGTGGTCATGAAGCGTTTTATAAGCATTCTTTGATAATTTTATTAAATGGTGAAGGATAATTGCATTAGGAGATGGTTTAGTCCAAGTAATTCCATCTTTGTCAAATGGTGTAGCAATAACCATTGCAGGTAAAGTGGAACGATTAAGAGTAAACTTAGATTGAATTTCTGAACATTCTTCTCCTATGAAATTTCAAAAATAATAGTAAACATAATTATAAAGATATGCTAATATAATAATAATCTCTTTATATTGTAAATGTAGTGTTATTATTTTGCACTAAATAAGTTTATTTTAATATATGATACTCTGTTTATAACTATGAAAGATTTTTACATTTTTAACTTTTTACATTGAAAAAATTTATATTTCTAGTTATGTTATTTGCTCTGATCTTTGTTCTTAGTACTAGTAAGTCCTAAGATTTAAGAATCTCATGCCAATCATGGATTTGATAGCATATAGTGTGGAGTGGTTTGTTAGTGAGGAAGAGGGTTCTCAATATACCCAAAGTTAATCATCTATGAAAATTTGTGAGGATCCAATTCTGGATGGCAAAACAGTTTTAACAACTGAAAGCTCTTTTTTGGTTAAAGGTTTCCTGAAACATTTGAATTTAAAGATAATTATAATAGGTTCAAGAGATTCTCAAAATCATTTTGTATTAAAGTCTGTTCAAATAATTTTTGTTCTACTTAGCAATAAAAAGAACAAATTTGAAGATTTTCCTCATAGATTACTAGAAAAATTTCCATAGTAGATTATAAACAGAAAGCACTTATCTTAAATAGCACTTATTTAGTTAGGTCTTAAAATGTGAAATTCAGCAAATTTCAAAAATAGCTACACAAAGATGTATTTATAATTAATAATAATAAAATATATAGATTTTGAGGTTCAGTTAAATTCCTTATTTCATTAGGTTTAGATTTAAAAACATTATGAGTTTAATTTGAGTTATAAGTAATAAGCTAAAGCCATCTTCATGTTATTATGCATGTGATCTATTTTCCATCATAATTTAATATTTGATCATGATAACAATTTCATAGATCATACAGAAGATTCAAATTTGGTTACTAAACCTGAAGCAAGCTTCTTAAATAAGCTGAAAACATTCATTTTTCTACATAAATTGCTGGAAAGTAGTATTGGTGTTTATTTTGTAATTCATCTTCATTCTACCTGTGATAATTGATTAGAGCAGATTTAACATGATAAATTACACCACACAAGATCCCCTGCTTTTATTATCTAATTCAGTTTCTGTAGAACAGTTATTAGAGCTTCATTATGACAACTCACATTTCTCATAGGTTCAGTGTCAAACTGAAGTTGTAAGAAATATAGTTTGAACTATATAATGTTCCATATTGAGAAGACCAACAAAAAGTAAAAGACTGACACACAGATTTTCTGTTATGATTATTAAATGCTGTATTTAAACATGCAAGGAGTTATAAAGGAGTTATGTACTGCATAAAATAAACCATATTTTATAAATAAGAAAAGAAACAGAACTAGACACCTTAACAGAGAATAACTGTATTTAAACAAACATTTTGGATTTATTTAATGGGTCATTATTAGGTTACAAAACATTACATTACATTACAAAAATTTATGTAAAATGATTTAACAATCTGAATCAAATTTGGTATACAGTTCTTTTTCCTTTCTAAATAACAAGTCATGAAATTCTCTTTAATAGTTAAAAAATATTCAGAGATTGTTTGCATTGAAAAACTTTTTGAGAATAAGACAAAAATTATATCTAAACTCACCCTTTAGTTCTTGATTAAAATTTACAATTAATGCTGAGGATTTCCAGTCATATGTATGAAGAAGATGAAGAAAACGTAAAAAAGCAACTTGAGGACAGCTGTTATAATAGTAAAATGATAAATAAAATATAGCTTAAAAGCAAATATAATCATTTAAAATTTTTAGATAACTTACTTTGGTGTAGAAAATGGAAATGGTGATAGATATATATAAGCCATTAATAATTCCACACAGGGATCTGATATAAAATCACTTAACAACTGAGAACATATCCAACGTTTTGCCAGCCGACAGGCAGAACCATAAATATTATTCTGTTGCTGTAAGCTGAAATTTATATAAGCAATATGAAAATCAATCTGTTTTATTTTAATTGAAAAGCAAGATTAGTAAGAGATAAGATACAAAGTTCATCATTTGTACTCATAATTTTTGTTTTGTATAAATAACAGGTGATCATAAAATAACATGAACAACTAGTGGCAATTGTGGAAGTGTAGAAAGTGAGAAATCAATTGAAACTTTTGCAGGATAAGTACAGGGTGACATGTGTTCTTGATACATGAAAATAAGGGTAGAACACATAATATGGTTACATTTAACATAACTATATATCAAAAGTTTTCAATACAAACACCAGATATTTGCAATGTCATGAGATTTTGCATGACAGAAAACTGCTTAAAGTGTTGGAAGAGTGATATCTCTTGTTTTTCATTCTATATACAGTGTTTGAACAATGAAGAGTGAGCTAGTTAATATCCACAAGACTCATACAGGTTTGTGAATGAAGCAGTAGCATTGTAGCTGAAGCTTACTGTAATGACAGCTGCAGGGTATAAAATCATCTGTTGAGCAAAATTCAAAGCATGCATTCTCCACAACAAATTTTGTTGTAGGTATTGGTTCACTCACTTCCCATTGTTCAAACATCAAAAATGAAAACTAAAGGCAAAACTTTGAAGGTTTCTGGAAAAATTGCAATAGAGATGAATATGTGCAGTGCATAAAAATGTTTCATAAAAAGATGTGCTCAGTAAGTGCAGACAAATGAAAGCTGTTGGATGAGTTTGAAATTACAATTTAATATCAACAAACAGGCTTCATCAGTTTTCAAATTGACTTTAAAACACACAGTCTGTGTAGGAAATAGTTTTAAAAATATAATTTGTAGACAAAAAATTTGATAAGTAATTGCATTTTATCTCTAATGTTTATAGAACTCTAAAGCTTGTAACATTTTAAAATACACTGGTGGAAATTGAAAGTGTTACACCCACCCAGTATTGTCGAAGACATATCAAATTGGGGAAAAAGAATCTCTTTTTGAAGGGTATTGAATGATCAAAAATTATATGGAGTACATACAGTGGTATGGAAATTATGGAGACATTTGTGCAAAATTGCTATAGTGTTTAGTTTATAAGTTGTGAACTGTGTTATGGAACATGACTTTTTTTGTTCCAGTTTATTAGGGTGCGTTTACTTCTGAGTTAGCAGTGCTAATTCTGATAACCGGATGTGACGTCATTAGCACGTTTATTCGTGCTTGCTTGTCCAATTTGAAAGTGAACACATACGCTAACAAGAAATATGGCGGTTTCCAGCCATATTTCTTGTTAGCGTATGTGTTCACTTTCGAATTGGACAAGCAAGCACAAATAAACGTGCTAATGACGTCACATCCGGTTATCAGAATTAGCACTGCTAACTCAGAAGTAAACGCACCCTTAGTGACCAGCTATGCCATATTGATGAGTGAGAACTCCGTACACCCAAATGTCTGACTTTGAAAGAGGTCAGATAATTGGCATATCAGAAATCACTCAAAGGACTGATCTTAGTACAATGTGATGATCTTAGTACAAAGAGTGGTCACAAGGTGGATGAAGGAAGGGTCCAGTACTTGCAGACCTGGCACAGGTCCACGCAGAAGGTCGACATGACGTGAAGACCACCATATTGTGTGGATGGCAGTTGCTGACAGATGGGCGATGGCAGCACAGACGAGAGCAGTAATTACTGCCAGTCACCCCATGGACAATTGTAAACCGATTGCTTGATGCTGGGCTGAGATCTTGGACCCCCCATGCAATGTTTTCCCTTAACCAGATTTCATCACCAACAATGGCTAATGTGGTGTGCTGCTAGACGTAATTGAACACATGAACGGCATACAGTTGTATTTAGTGATGAATCCCAATTCTGTTTAGGCCAATGTGATAGTTGGCAACATGTCTGCCAGCATGCTGGAGAAAGAGCCCACCCTGCTGTGATTTCAGAATGCCACTCAGGTTCAACTCCTGGTGTCATGGTTTGGGGGGTAATCAGTTATGACAGCAGGACTAAGTTGGTGGTTGTTGAAAACACAATGACTGCCCACTAGTGGACACGGTGATCCATCCAGTAGTCATATCTTTCACAAACACCATCCAAAACAGTATCTTCCAACAAGATAATGTCTGTCCTCATGCTGCTGGCATTACAAGACAGGCCTTGCAAAGTGTCACAATCATGGATTGGCCTGCCCAGTCTCCAGATTCATCCCCTATAGAGCATGTCTGGGATGGCATGGGTAGCTGGATACATCCAGCATGCACTGTACAACAACTGACTACACAAGTTGTGCAGGCATGGAGATATATACCCCAACAAGACATTCAAGCACTTATTGATTCAATGCCTGCAAGGATCCAAGAGTGTCTCCATGCTCAAGATGGGCATACCACTTACTGAAACATGTGCCAAACAACAATAAAACTTTGTATAATTCATTTCATTTTGTATTTATTTCTTCTGGGTATGTCCCTGTACATGTTTACCAAGTTTCACAAATTTCTACAATTTCATCTGGGTGTATCACTTTCAATTTCCACCAGTGTAGATAAAACTGAGATATAGTTTATTGTATGTTTAATAGCTAAATATCTAAAAATTGAATTATACTTTGGGACTAGAATTAAGCTAATTTTACTTCAGATTTTAGATTGAGTTTTTATTTAACTATATTATTTGATTATTGTATGTGATGAAAGTTTTTAAAATAAAACGAAAATATACTGGTATATATGGACTTTAAAAATATTTGTGTGTGTTTAAGTACTAATATTGTGTTGTTCTCTCATGTACTACATAAAAATATTATTATTATTGGTATAAATAAATTAGATTAAAGAAATATGAATGATTTCAAACTATTTCTTCAGAAAATATTTTAAAACTTACCCATAAATATAACTAGAAAGCTTTGGCAGATGAATAATTTTCTTTTCTAATTTTTGTGACTCCTCATTATTTTCATATTTAATCATTCCTTGAGCATTTATTGTTTGTTTCAATAAATTAATTTCCTTATGACAAGCTATTGATAATCTGAACACATATCCATCCTACAAATATCAATAGTAATAACATAACCACATGACAATTATTTAATTTACATATATACAATTTTGAATACCTTTAATACATCCACATATTCTGTAAAAGGAACAGATATTAACATAAACTGAGATTTTAACATTTCAGCTAATTTTATATAAAAAGCTGCTTTTGTATGTTTAATAGCATCGATGTCGTCAGGCCATTTTCCACTAGTTTCCATATGTAACAATACTAAAATATAAAGTCATTTCAAACTCTATTTATTTCAAATTGGTAGTTTTATTTATTTTTACCTTCCATAGGTTGAACCCATTGAGGAGCCATTCCTGCATTTTCTTTCAATATTAGACTGTTTCCTAAAGAGCCCACTATCCTATTATCGATGTGAGGTTGGTGTGGAATTGGTGGAAAGATCTAGAAAAAATAATGAAAATAATTATTTACACTCAAAAAACAACGTCAATATTTATTAAAAAAAGATATTTTGATACCTCACAATATCGGAGAGCAGCTGACATTCCTTGTACTGATGATACTGTTAATGGAATATCTTTCAATTTTCTCAATTCTTTGCTTAATTCATTATATTTTAGAAGTAAATCTAGATTAATTTCTTCTCCAGTTCTGTATGGAGTAGAATCTTCAAAAACAGGTGCACATCGATGCATGAGTACAGAATCTAACTGGTTGCTAAGATAATGTATAGATGTTTCATCTAAATATGCATGCCTAAAATAGATTGTAATTATTGCTTTTATATTTATATTTGATATTAAAAACTTTACAGTAATTCTATCAATTTAACATTCCAAATCTGATCTGATTAAATTCTTCATTAAATACTGCAAAAATTTTGGCATAATTCCTTACATTTTTGTTAAAAGGATATTTAAGAAAGTGATATGATTTTTCAAAAGATTATCTATTTTATTTTAATTTAAAAAGGATCAATTCCACATACTACTGTCACTAGAATTTTTCAACTCAAATAATAAGCTCAATCAAAATTCAAAAAATATAAACTTCATCTTCTGAAGTTAGTCATATCCATACTTCTGGCAAACTAAGAACAATGCTTTAAGTCATATTTTGTTGTCATAATAATCAAATATTTCACATAATATGTGGTACGATCCAAAAGTTTGGAGACTGCAGTAATGTATGACAACAAAAGCATATATTTAAAGTTACAGCGTATGAAATAGATTCTACCAAACCACCCCTATGTGTTCAGGTTGATTTCGCCCATGTCACATGATTAAACTGCGAGTGCTGTTGTTTTTTTCAGAGATTTGTTTTGCGGCGTAATAAAAATGGAGTTTCAAGAACAGCGCTGCAACATTAAATTTTGTCAGCGTTTAGGTAAAACACCTATGGAGACTTTAAAATTACTAAGAAAGGTGTATGGTGATTCTACCATGGTGAAATCAAAGGTATACAAATGACATCGGCGTTTTAAAGAAGGCCGAGAATACATCACAGATCATGAACACTCTGGCTGACCTTCGACTCCACGGAACAAGGAAAATGTTGAGTTGGTCTCTCAATTATCTAGACATTTTATGTCGTTTGAGGGAATTCATTCATTGTAAACGGCTGCAGATCTGGCAAAGTGGAGACTGGTACCTTCTAGATGACAATGCACCTGCACATCTGTCCCAAACGGTCACGCAGTTTCTCGCCAAATCTCAAATTAATGTGCTTCCACACCCCGCCTATTCACCGGACTTATCCCTGTGTGATTTTTATTTGTTTCCATCAATGAAAAAGTATTTGCAGGGACGCTGTTTTGTGTCATCAGATGAGGTGAGAGCAGCATTGCAGGAGGCCTTACAGGAAGTTTCAAAAAATGGCTTCCAGAAGTTATATGAGCACTGGCAAAAGTGTATCTTTGCCCAAGGTGATTACTTTGAAGATGGTTGTGCATCGGCAATATAAACTTTTTAAGGTAAGGAATTTTAAGCCAAGTCCCCAAACTTTTGGATCGTACTACATATATATTTCAAATACATATATATTAAATCTGAAAATTAAGCTTGGACCAGAGGTGCAGCAACATAACTGGATAACATGTCAAAGTATTTTTTGATTTTCTCTTTCTTGTGGACACTAAAGAGAACATTTTTCCAGATGCATTGCAGGTTCAGCCAGGTGATGAAAAATGGTCCAATAACCCATGAAAAACTTTTGGGCTTCCTTGCCTGAATTCAATCCCAGATCCCAGAATGATAGGCTGACACCATAACCACCTAAACCATCTGGCCATTGGAGTTGTTGGTGTGAGTTCTATTCCATATTGTTTTTTTCTTCCAGAATTTTCTAACTATTTAATAAATCAAAAATTGATTTATAATAATTAATGCTTATACAATATGATAGTGCATCGCCCACCTACCTTTAGGTCAAATTTTAATCTTAATAATCTGACAGTATGATTCAGGTTTTGGTTTATACTATTAAACTGCATCACTCAAACCACTTTTTTAAATGCAATTCTCACATACGTTATAAGCTCTATAAAACGGTTTTACTTTACCTAAAAATCATAAAATTTGCATGAAAACCACTTATTCTACATAAAACTGGATGATGATTTTTCAGAATATGTAAAACATCAGCATTGTTTATGGAATCTGCAATAACTGACAATGTTTTCAATTTGCAATTTAATATTTTCAGTTCAGGAAATTTACATCATAGAATATTAATTAAAAAATGGATATTAAAATAAATATAAAACATACATTTTTAATGTGTGAGCAATAATGTGATATAAAATTCTTTGTCTTTCAGAAAAAGATTTTCCTGGCCAGACCACAGCTTCACATATTACACCATCTTGAAATCGTCGCAATTCAGACTTTTCTCCCCAAAAGTCTCTAAATTCTTTAGACTACATTATGAAAAAAGAATAAAATTATGATTCCAAAAAATGAACATACTGTAAAAGTACTCAATATTAATTAAAATTTCATAATTTTTAATTTGTTTTAAAAAAATACAAACTTAATTTAAAAATCAAAATCAGAGAAATGTTTAATCAAATCAAATTTATAAAATTGAAGTCAATATACCTCAGGAAGATCTGCACAAGGACCTCTTTCCACAGTTTTATTATAATTTTCAGGATTTAACAATATTCCAAAAGTCACAACATTAACATCGTTAGGGCTGGGAGGTGAAACTGTAATTTTCCACTAAATCAAAAATGAATCATCCAGTTATTATATTTTTAAAATTAATATTATATTTGAAATATTTGAAAGTCTTTACCTCTTTAGGATTCCATAAAATTTTATCCAATAAAACAATTCTATTTTTGCAACTTCTATTTATTAATCCTTCAAAATGTGGAATAACAGCAGCAATAAAATTTCCTCCATAATCAAGAATTTCATTTTGTAATTGAAGATGATTTATTGTCTTATTCAAATCATATGTTTTAATGCTAAAAAAAAAACAACAAAATATTTGTTAAATTGAACATGTATTTAAAAACATATAATTTTATATACTTACTGTAAGATGTGATCAAATTTTTGATAAAAATCTATAGGCTTCATGAAGAGTGTGTCAAAACTATCAGACATACAACTATCTAATGCTGACAAACTTAACTTGGCTTCATGTTGAACCTATATCAAGAAATTTCATTACACAAAATTTTCTATGCACCAAAATCCTTATTTTAACACTGGTAGGAGTTTGATTTTAATGCACACAAATATTTTCAATTTAGTGATAGGTGTTTCAAATCTTAAACTTTTGTTCAATTTTGGAATATGAAGGAGACAGTTACATTTAAAAATTTTGGAACGATGGCAAAATTCAAATTTGTGTTCCTTGTTCTTAATATAAATATTTACACATTTAAATTCATATTAAATAAATTTATGTAGATTTTATGCATAACATATGTTTTCTTAATTACATGTGAAACATGTCCAAAACAGAACCAGAATAAAACAGAAACCTGTCAAGACAAGAAGAATTCTTCAGAATGGAGTGATTTTCTGTGTTAAAAAAAACTGTTCAAAACGGAAACCTGCCAAACTGGAAAAAATATTTGGTGTCATGCAATCCAGTTCACACAGGTTTTACTGTAATGTAGTCTATTTTCTTGGGTACTATTTGAACCGTCATATTTAATATCAATTTTAATTTATAAATATTTATATTAAGAACATGGAAAACAGATTTGAATTTCACCATCATTCCAAAATAGAAAAAAATGTTTAAGACCTGAACAAATGTTTTTGACCTAGTGATAGGTCAAAAACATCTGCATTAAAATCTGCATTAAAATCAAACTCCTGCTGGTGTTAAAACACAGTTTTTGGTGTTGATCAATTAATCTAGTTTTATAAGTATTTGGTGAATACATAATTTTGATTTTTGTTTTTACATCTAAATAAAATTTCTTACTCTTTTCAATATTTCCTTTGTCATCCAAGAACAAAAATTTAAATTTCCTGAGAAATCTAAGAATGTTACTTGATACACTTCAGAGAAAAAGTTTAAATCTGTATTTTTCTTTAAAGAAATTCCTTTTTCCAACAAACTATTGTCAGCTAAAAATAAATTTAAAAAATTTAAATAGTAGTAATTTACAATTTTATTAAATAAAATTAAATTGAAAATTACTTCAATTAAGAAATTATCATAAATTTATTAAAGCTTCAAAAATCTCTTGTGAATAGAAAGTATACATATATTTGGAAGAAAGCAACATTCCTTCATGAACATAAAATGAAAAAATAATGAATAAAGTAAAAAGATAGTATGGTTATAATGTGTTAACTTTTATCATGTTTTATATCTGTAGAGATGGCAGTCAGATGGCCACATAGTATGATGTTAACCTAATGCCACAAGAAATCTAACACAAATTCAATCCAGATCCCAATAGTTCGTCAAGGATAGTATAGGATAGTGGTGTTCAAACTAAGACCTCTGGGCAAAATTCAGCCCACCAATATACTTGACATAACACTTATAAATGATAGAAACTGGCATATTTTTAGTATATATGGAATATACAAAATATTTGTGGCTGGGCTACTTACAATTTCTACCCAATTTGGTATGTTAATTGAAAGGTTTGGGCACTATCAGTATAGGATGTGAAATTGTTCCTTATCCCTCATTTTTGCTCATCAATCAACCCATTGCAAATACAAACCTACTTTAATATATTAATGCATCATATTAACTAATCAATCTATAAACCCATAAAAATATTTTAAAATTAAGAATTTTTAAATATGATGTGTTATAAAAATATTTACTACTTTAGATGTTTGAGATATGAATTCATAACATCATTTACATTTCCATAGGATAGCTATAGAATATTGTATTGTCCCTATTAGAAGCCTAATAGTCTTAAATATTTTCTGCAATGGGCTTTTATTAACACCATTACTCACTTAAAAGCTAAGAAAAATAATGTACAATAACTCTCCATAGAAAAACATTGGATTATAACTTGGATTATAATTCTTTCCTTTTTATGAAAAAATTACATCATCAATCCTCATTGTTTTGGCTATAAATAGCTCTACAATACATTTAAGCCAATGCAAAAAATTGTAGAAGCAGTTAGGGAAAAGGCAGTTACCATTATTTAAAAAAATAACCCTCAAATTTCATTAAAATACCAATTTCTCAATGGCAAAAATATGATACAACAATAAAAGCCTCTACCAAGTCAATTTTAACAAAATAAATAGAAAATGGTAGGGAGTAGACTTCTAATAGGAACAATATAGTATTCTAGCTTATTTCAGAACACCATGTTCTAATTTAAACAGCCTAGCAACAATTATCAAGTTTAATATTAATTTGCAACCTATAAATCCACAAAGTGTATAGAATTATTAGTTTCCGTAAAAGTTTAAATGAAAAAAAAAAAAAATTATAATTAACTGTCAATGCATCATAGAATGAATAAATCTAAATTTAATCACTTGATAACAAGCACCGAGTTCAGCGTTAACATGAATTTTCTTATATCGCAAGTACTTTTGACGAGTATTATATCATTGTTCTCAGGTGAAAAATAATAAATTTGAAAAAAATAGAACGTGCAGAGTGTTCCAAGTAGAAAACAGAAATTTTTTTTTCTTGTCAATTTTTAAATTATAACATTCGGTAATTCTGTTGGTAACGTGCAACAAGCTTTTGCAGGCGTTCGAAAGATCTCAAATCCACTTGACTAGCAGTGCATGCATTGAGGAGCGATCGTACGAATTGTGTGATTCTTGATGCATTTTGTTGTTTAAACGCTGGTATAAACGTTTTAACGCTGAACTCAGTGCTTGTTATCAAGAAGCTATACAATTTTGGCGTGAGTTTTATTTATTTAACTATTTCTATCTAAATTTAATCACTATAACACCTCTAAATCTCAAATCTGAAGAAAATTGGCCAGTTCGAGTTATAGAAAGTTATACGTATGGAAGTTAATGAAAAATTTTTTATTCAGATGCAAAGTACAAAGCAATAGAATAAGGGATGTAACTCTGATAAATGTAGCAACATTGACATAAATATATTTGAATCATTATTTAAAGAGTACACAAGATTTTAATAAAAATTTAAATACAGTCGACCCCCCCATAACACGGGTTCCTATAATTCGGATTCCTATATGACGGTGAAAAAATTGCGACAGTATCTGTATAAACATGGTAAAAAAAACTCCTATAATTCGGTAAAATGTCATCGGGCAGCCAAACTACTTTCCGCTGTCCAGCACCACGCTACAGAGAGTTTAGGTGGGTAAATTGAGTTTACTATCGTCTGTACAGTATTATATATAAATTAGGTACTGTATATATAATTATATATTAACTTAATTTATTGTAACTTTATTATAATTATATATATACTTTCCGCCGTCCATGCTACGGAGAGTTTAGGCGAGTAAGTTGAATTTACTATCATCTGTACAGTATGTAAATTAGGTACTGTAAATCTAATATAGCACTAATTTTATACATTTCCTGTGAAAGAAACATTTCTTATTCAATGGCCATAAAAATTATTTATATTAATGATGTCTCCAAAGTTCAATGAAGTTTTCGCAGAAAAATAACTTATCAGAAATCGCGCCCGCCATTTGGTGCGCCCCACTCCGCGATGAAAACAAGCTTAAGCAATGGCGACGTCGAACGGTGCACACTCGGTAAGTAATCCTACAACTGTTTGTTTATAGCATAATTTATACGGATTATTCTCAAAAAAATATACGTGTTTTGGAAATGTTGAGTCGAATTAGTCTAGGAATCGATTAATTTTATGGAAGAAAACCTTTCAAACAGCCGTAGTCCGTAAACTTCACATGTGTTGGGCTGTGATTGGCAGGGTCTCCTAAAACATCAATTTCATAAAAAACGGAACATATCTACCGTCTTATAGGGGAGTCGACTGTAAATGTCATTAAGTTAGATACAATAGTACCTCAGAATACGAATGCTCCAACATATGAAATTTTCAGGATATGACATGAAATTTAAACATAATTTTGCTCCACGGTATAAACAAAAACTCACCATACAACGTTACATTAATTTGCAGTGCCATTTTTTATTCAATTCTGTTCATCGGTCTCAGTCCGTGTGTTTGCTTCGTCATGGAAGGATCTCGCTCAATAAAGAAAATCTTAAGGTATTATCAGAAAGTGACTGATTTTATTGAAAAGAAACATCCCAAGAAGGTTCACATTAGCTGTATTGCTGCTCAGAGTAATGACATTTGCCTAAGTCATTTTAGAAACATTTTAAAAAGTAGGCAAAGCCAAACCTCTTTGGATAGATATTTTACCAAGCGACATCTATCCAGTGAAAGTGCTGAAGGAAGTGAAGGAAAGAAAGCAAAAAGCAGAGAATAAAAAATTAAAAAAAATATATATATATATAAAACAGAAAAGATAAAAATAACTTAACACTAATTTTTTTAAGTTATTGTTACATTATGTTATGTAAGTTAAGTTTTAGTATTATTTCCCTTCTCCCTCTCCTCCGCCACCAGTTTACATCTCTACCGNCGGACGAATAGTAGCAATAGCATGGTTTATACACTGCTTTATACTTCGTTTGACATCATTATATACTTTAATAGCGATTTATTCGATCAAATTATCATTTTGTAGATGCAATCTTTAACCTTGTAAAGCACAAAGAAAATTTTGAGAATATAAAATTACATTTTCTGAGTTAGTTTTAATTCCTTGTAAGTTAAACAAAAAAATTTGTTTACTGTACTTGAATAATTAAAAATTACGTAAGTAAATTCGATACCGAAAATAAACACAAAATATCTTTAAAGAGCTAATAACACGGAAACTTCAAATAATATATATATACTTTATTACACGATTAATTACCAAAATATTATTAAACTGGGTAAAAAATTACAGAACATTTGCGTGCAATTAAGTAATAATTAATTTCATAAATATAATTTATGAATATTTACAAACATTCATATTTTAACTCTAATAATTTTAATACTTTATAAAAGTTTAAACTATAATTAACAAGAGGCTACACCAAACTGGCAAATTATTACGTGATTATTGATTTGTCAATTTCACAGTATAATATATTTGAAAATTTACACATTGTACTGTTTTATGTCGTATTATGATATTATTTATAAAAGGAAAGACGGGTGAGGGGAGGAAATGAACGAAATTCACATCCAATTATGAAATAAATAAACTGTGTTTTAATTATTTGTCGGAAGTTACTGTGTGAAGGGTTCTTTAAAAAATATTGTGTACATCATTTACTAATTTTTCCTGAATCTGTATTGAAAATTTTCTGACTAAGGCATTGTCATACTTTATACAAAGTTTATCTATCCATCATGTTTTACTTTAAATTAATTTGAATAAAGTCAACACATTATTGGGAAGTGAAAATCATCTGTATTAAGCCAGAAACTTTGTTTATATTTGCATTTTACAAATTTTTATAAGTTTTTTCAGATAAATAGATTCTTAAATTTTGGTATGTATGTTAAATTCACACTAAACTGTTATTTAATTTATATTCCAAATTTATCTACAATAAAACAAAATTTAAATAGTTAAGTAAAATTTACTTACAAAGGTATAACAAGGCATTTCGCACTAATTGATAAGAACTGACTAGTATGTTAATTTTCTGATTTGTCAGTAGATAACAGACAAGCATCGTTATGATGAAGTTTGAAAATCCTCCATACCCCTAAAATAAAGATTTATTAATATGTTTTTAATATAAAATTATTTTTCTTTGTTATATTGTTTTAGCTTACAAATTATTCTTCATAATTTGCTCACAGAAAATATATTGCTTTTATTATGTTACAAACTAATTAAAATACATAGAGATGCTTTTTAAATAATAATAATTTATTGTTTTAAATGCAGTAATTTATACAGTATATCTGAGTATTTTGAATTTGTAGATCTACCATCAGAAATTTTTTAAAAAATTATTTGAAGTTAATTAATTAATGTTTATCAAATACTTTTGAATAGAAATTCAAACATTGAAGGAACTCAACAGGTTCATCTTCAAGACACAGGAGTTCAAAAATGCAATCTATAACATATATATAATATATACATCTACTTGTTTAAACATTTCAGCATGAAATTCAATCACAAATCATATTTTATAAAGACAGCAGAATGTCTAGCTTTCGTGCAATGGGAGTCCCATGTACCACATACCTAGCAATTTTGAAAAGTAGGAAATGACGTAGAAATCAAAGGCAATTTTGTGCAACGTTATCTGGCGTTTCTGGATTAAAAATTTTTTATTGACCAACATAAAATTTGGGAAATTTTTTGGGGTGACTTTTTTCACTTTGATCTTTTTTCAGTAGACTAAAACAAAAATTTTGACATGACAGAACCTGTGAAATGCTGTTTAAACAATGTGATTGAATGTGTTATTATTCATTAAAAAATTATTCAAAAATGATTACTATTGTTAACTCCTTTTCTGCCATTCTGACCTTGTGACATATCACTAGGAGGAGTTTTTGGAAACATATTTGAGTATAATTCAAAATAAAAAGACTGTCACAAAAATATTGTATTACTTAGTATCAATCAACTTCACTTAATCAGTGTATCAAAGGTATTAAATCTTTGATAATCTAAAACCGAGTTGTGACTCTTCTTTGATTCTTAAACACTATTTAGTGTAATAAATTCAAACACTTGGCATTCTATCATCTTTATTTAGTTCAGTTGATACGTGTTTAAAATACACATTTCGGGCATAACATGTCCCTCTTCAGCCAACTTGGGATTATTTTTAAACTGGGTATCATGAACCATGAAAGAATACAGATGTAAGCAAAAAATCTTGTACTTACGGTACATTCATCTTTTAATTTTGTCACCCAAAAAGGAAACAGCAAAGATAGACAATAAATGTGTAAGCTGTATAAATATGTATTTGTACATAGTATGTAAATATGTGAAAATTGGAGCCCAAATATCTGATCCTCTCCATGTAAGTGACAGCTTAACACGTTACTTTTGCTTTCTAGATGCCAAATTGATAAAGCTACCAGCATCTACATTTTTTATATTGAATGCTACCCTGGGGTACAGCTGTATCCCAGGATAGCATTCACATATAAGAAATTATGCAGAGTAAGTAAAACTGGCAACAATAAATAATTTGAAGTGGCAAAAAGAATTTTAAACTGGCAAATGGTTGGCAATATTTTGAAATTTTTCAGAGCAATACCTGTATATATATAACACATACAGGGTGTTCATAATTAAAGTTCACAATTCAAAAAGATATAACTTGGGAACTAATCAGCAGAATAATATTACATTTCACACAGAGACTTCTGTGGTAATGAAATTTTATTTAAAAACAAAAAAAAGTTACTACTTACCTCCCTATTGGACATTTTTATAATTAACTTTCTTTTGCTTTCAAATAAAATTTCATCACCATAGAAGTTTGTGTAAAATATAACATTATTCTGCTGATTAGTTCCTGAGTTATATCTTTTTAAATTGTGAACATCCTGTATATTAAAGTGCTTCACTTTATACAAAACACTTTTCAATTATATTCATGTTCATTATTTTCAACACTTGCCTTCTCAAGTTGATTTTTGAGGTAATTTTTACTTTTGCTTAATAGTTTTAGGCCTGGAACTATTGTGCACTTAATAAATTATCATATACAGTAATTCCTCTACTAATCCAGACAAGTGTTTTCAAAATCTGAAATCTTTGCAATACTGTGTATTATATTACTGTAATTGATTACTTACTGAAAACTGTACATAACTGCATACTTCAGTCATGAAATTTTTTGAGTTCATTACCTGTAATAATAAATTCAGCAGTATAACCTACTAAAACTCCTGTATAGAGCTGATTGTAATAAATTACTGTATCCACTTTCTTGTTTTTCACTTCATTGGAGAAATTGCTCACTAACTTGGACAACCTTTACTCCTATTAGTCTGAATTAGTGGGGGTTTATTGTACATATCTTTTTAGCCTTTTATATGCATTGCCAAGTAAAAAAAAAGACTTTTTTTTGCTTTAACTCAATATTTACTTTATGGTAGTGGTCTGTCATATGACCTGCCATATTATTAAAGTATGTTTCCAAGTGCTTTTATATCTGTCATATTTTATTTAATTAAAACAAGTTTTGTTTAATTCTGTTATAGCACTTCCATATTTTCTAATCTTTCAATTTTATTAACTTAACAGAAATAATTTGTGTCATTTAGCTCTTCAAAGTAAAAAATGATGATAGTTTCATTTTGCTAACAGATAAGTACTGTTCTTTGCAAAACATTATAAAATAAAAGCAACAGTATAAAAAATTGCCAAACAACCAGTATTTAGTTAAGTGCTAAAAACATATTCATATCATGTATTTTTATGTAGTTAACTAATTACTGGTTGTTTGGCAATTTTTTTACATTGTAGTTTTCATTTATTAATGTTTTGCAAATAACACTACTTATTATCCCTTAGCAGATTTAAATATGTTCAGATATAATGTACAAGTTAATTCTTACTAGGGTAATTTTCCATAATTTTATATGACTGTTACTTAAACAATCATCTATTAAAATACTTCACATTCAATAAAAATTCAACTGTTGCTTAACAACTGAATGCATGTAAAGACTAAAATATGCATTCATGCAAGTTGTTCGTTGCTATGATTGAATGATTAAAATGGATTTTTAATGCAAAGAAATTTTCAAACTGGCAAATCAGTCAGAATGGTGATTTTGTAGAAAAGTAAATAAAGGTACATAGATTATATTGACATGTACTTTCTTTTCAGTGCCATTATTTAGAAATAAAATTAATGCAGTCAAAATTTTCAGTAGAAATTTTGTAAGTAAATTCTCTTACCTGGTTTATATTTCTTTGATGTAACCAAACCTTTAACAGTAAAATTCCATCTTTTAAATTCTGGTTATCTTTTAGCTTTTCAGATAAATATTGCATGGTATCCACCATTAAAAGATCCATCAAAACACTAGAATTATAATGTGGTGTAGGAGTTTGTTCTGAAAGAAAATATTTCTATAAATGAACATTAAATGAAAAACTATTTGTTAGATAAAATACAATTAATAAAAATGATACTTAACAAAACTAAAGCATTCATATTCTTTGAGTTTTTAATTTTCATTAAAAATTAAAATAATACATGTAGATATATTGCAGTGAAAAAAGTATGGTATTTAATATATAATTAATTATTGTATTTATTTATACTTAAATAAGACTTTTACAATGGATCCTCACTTTATGATTGTTTTGACATAAAAGTCAAATTACTTTATGATGATAAAATAAGACTTGCTGTATAACAAATATACCTAATTTCTGTTTTTACATGATAGATATATTCCTGAGAAATCCATGTAAAAAGAAAAAAATAGTCTGTACACAAAATATGGAAGATTGATTCCAGACCTTTAAACCAGTAAAAAATAATACAATAAATCAATTAATATAATAGGAGATATTTAAACAAAATATTTCAATTTTACTTAATAAATCAGAGGAGAAACAACTGTAACTAGTGAGAAAAATTTAATAAATTTATATTTTTCACACAAATTTTGTTTTGCTTTAAATTTTTATTTCACTTTTTTTGTATTGTTTAAATCAGTATCGTTCTCCTCCTAACCCTAGTAATTCTACATAAAAAGGGATAGTCTACAATCAACGACCAAAACTCTCTCCTCGGGTTAAATGTCACAGTCTATACTAATAAATTCAATCAACAATAAAATCAACAAGGCAAGAACAGATGTTTAAAGAAAACTAATAAGTGGTGTTTCTCACTCCTCCTTTAGCTGCACGTGGCATGTGTCTGCAGACACCTGCACGATAACCAAAACAACATGATAATAATTGCGTCTCTTGTTGACTAATACAATGTTTAATATAAACAATCTAGAGCAGGGGTGTCCAACCCGCAGCCTGCATGCGGCCCAAGGCAAGTTCCAATGCGGCTCAATAAACGTGTAAACAAAACTGACAAATTCTTTTATTTTATTTATTTATTTCAACGGCACAAACTCAAAAAGGACGTTTCACAATGCTGTAAACCTTTATACATATTTTAATTTTGAGTGGAAAGGAAATATTTTCAAATACTTGGAAATGTGTGAATGAAGAAGGTATATTAAATAAAGCTGGAGTTGTGACCCAGCAGTAAAAAGTAGTAAGAAATGTTAAATATACCTTCTATTATGCAAATATTGACCATTAATTTTCCAACTCTTCTCAATTCTTTATCTTTTGTCCTTTCTCTCCTTTCCCTGCATTTGGGTCTATAATTCTTTGAGTTTCAACTCCAGCTTTATTTAGTACTCCTTCCAGCATTGCAAGATTTGGCTACTTTGTGCCAAATTTGGCTACCCTTTTATTAGTTTGGCGTAAAAAATATCATTTGGCACATTGGCTACTTTTTGGGCTACATAGTATTTATAAATATATTAGTTGAATAAGAATGCACTTTAAAATGGTGTTTTGTTGTTTTTTATTAATTAGAGACCCAAATAAAACAAATATTTGTGTTTTTCAAATAAATTTTTGTTTCTCTCCTTTATAATAAATGAATTTATTTATTTCTAAGTAGAAATTGAAAGTATCTCTAGAAGTAATTTTTTAAAATATCCTCTTTTGTAATAAAGTTTTAAAGAGATAAATTAGAAATTTGTTTTAGTTCTAATAACAGAATATAACTAATTACCTTCTATACTTTTATCTTCAAAAAACCATGAATTTCTAACATTGTTGGTTTTTGGGATGAATCTTATTAATTTAAAATGTTCTTTGGATGGATATGGAAGCAATTTAACTTTTAATTTTGTACCCAGTTTTCCTAGAAAATACAAACATAATATAATTTTTAATAATTATTGCAGTAAAACAAGATCATATATGTAACTGATATTAAGCTAAAAATATAATTAGTAAAAAAGTTTACCTTTAGGTACTAGAATTAGAGCGGGTTTCATATGATCACCACAATGATAGGAAAATTTCATTTCTTCAATAAAATCAGTTTTTCTTAATTGAGAAGCAATATAAACTAAATACAGAGATCTTTTTCTATGATACCTATGATTCAAATAATCATTTTTTTGCCAACATCCCTAGAATAAATATTAAAATAATTTTTATTAAATTCTAAATTATTAAATGCCTAACTACAAATAAAAGTAAATGATTAACTGATTTGTTAAACAAAGTACCAACATTAAAGATTATAAAGTTGGGCATAATTAACCAGCATGTCTGAACAATGAATAATGATAACACAAATCATGAGAAATTATATGTGTTTATATTGAATTCAAATCTGAATCTCATAATAGTATTATGATATTGTATGGCTAATAGAAAATAAAATTACTTTAGTAAAAATTTATACATAACCATGTAAGTAATTGTTCTGATAATGCAAGAAACCAATACATTAAGACTATAAAGTTAGCTACGATTTTGACTATCACAGGCAAGCCTAATTTACAAGATCAACCTACATTGGTGAACAATATCCTGATACATATTTAATAACTATAAAAATTATGGAATCCAGACTAGATATGAATCCTGATACTACTTACTGATATACCAATTAATTGCTTTCTAATCATTAGTCATACTAATTGGTTTTTCCATCAAGAATTAATTCTTCAATAATCAGAGTAATCAGTAAATAATCATTACATTGGAAGAAACATTATTACTTTTAAATTTAAAATTTTTAAATTAACATTAAAAAATTAATGATTTTTAAGAAATGGTAACTTTAGCAATAATTCAGAATAATCATGACAAAACATCCAGTACTGTCAGAAACTGTTAGCTTTTTGTATTTGTGTTCTGTTTTCAATCTGACACTATTATTCAAACTGAAAATACTTTAGAAATATATATATATTTCTAAAAATTTACTAATTTTGAATGTAATATAGTTAACAAAACAATGTTATTACATTGCTAATTATTTCTTACTCTACTTGTTTAAAACAAATTTATTTCAAAAATAGTATGACAATGCTGAAAATTAATCAGTTAGATGTGATAATTGGCTATAAATGAAACCGAAAAATACTCCTTAAAAAATATATATATGCTGGTCATCTATCTAACACCTTTCATGAGAAAATTTTTCAATTAAAATAACTTGACTTCCAGTTTGCATTGGAAGTTCATATATATTAGGGGCAGTCAAATGAAAATGAGACAAATGGGAAAAGAGTAAGTAAACTGTTTATTATTTCAAAAGTAATTGCCATAACTGTTAATACATTTATCCCACTGTGAGACAAGACAGTCAATGCCTTCATAGAAAAATGTTTGCGGTTGCCTACGGAACCATGATTGTACCCAGGCGTGCACCTTTTCATCCGAAGCAAATTGATGGCCATGAATGTCTTTCTTTGAGGCTCCAAAAATATGGAAATCGCACAGGGAGAAATTGAGACTGTATGGAGAATGTGTATGGACTACGCTGCAGAAGTTCCCAGTGAAACTTCTGCAGCATAGTCAAAACAACCTTGGTAACATGTGGGTAAGCATTATCCTGCAACAGAATGATGCTGTCTGTCAACATTCCTGGGTGTTTGGATTTGACGGCACGCTTCAACTTTTGTAAAGTATCTATGTACCACTGTGCGTTAATTGTGGCATCGTATTCCAGAAAGTCAACAAGCAGCGGACCTCCATAGTGATGTTGGACACACACACGACTCACCGACCTCACTTTGAGCACGTCTAACAGACAAATGGCACAGCGGTAAACGTTCACACTGTGCCTTCCTGATTCCCAATAGAGGGCACTTCTATATACACACCTACCTGCAATTACCAACTTCTGTGCCACACTTGTTATATAGTATGTCTCGTTTTCATTTGACTGCCCCTAATAATTAATTGAGGCCTCCTGCCCTAAGGTTTCCATATCTGGTCTTGTCTTTCATCTATCTAACTCCATTCTTGAGAGTAAGGAAAGACAGACAGTCAGATGACAGTGGGAATTTATAGATCTGCAATTTGAAAAAATTGTAGATCTATAAATTGTAGATCTAAAAAAAAAAATAAATATTGACTTTGAATATAAAAATTTTAATTGTTAACTTAGAAGACTTGTTCATTTTAGGCATTTTTGGCATTGCATATACATAATATTGATACATATCTAACAATACAATTTTTACCTTTATAAAAAACTAAAGGACTTTGTTAACATGCAAATGAGATTTGATTAAATGCAGAGCGGAAAATAATCATTCAACATTGACTTGGGAAGAAGGCAATGCAGTAACAACATGGGCTGTATTTTGTATTATTAAGTCAAAAATAATGGCATTAACAACTTTTAAAAATTTTTAAAATTTTCTAAATTTCAATGCAACATAAGGAGTCAAGAGTCAATAAGTTTTTCGACTTCTAGAAAAAGATTTGATTCCCCGACTCCCCCATCCCTGTATATAATAATAATTTATATATTTGTACGCAAGTGCATGTTACTTTCTAATTTACATAATTAAATTTATTACAAATCAGTATAATTACCTTTGGAATTTCAATAGCAATATCTACAGTAGCATTTGGCAAACACAATAAATCTAATGGATAACTTCCTATTAGTTTAATGTCAGATGGTGGTAAAAATTTAAAAATTCCTTTGTCCAAATCAGGTTTTTGAATTATTGGTACCTTTATCTTTTTGATCCAACTCTGATCACTAATCTGAAACAAAAAATTTATAAACATAACATATTTATTTCCCAAATATTTTACATAGCAAAACATTTATTAATAATATATATTAATTTTTCATTTTTACATTTTAAAAACTAAGAGTTTACCTGATATGTCTCAGATTCTGATAACTGAGTGAGAATGGATTTTAATTTTTCAAGCCATTCATCCATTTCTATTTTCCATTTAGTCTTTATTTTTATTTCTTTAAGAAGTTCATCAATCTAATATTTAAAAAAATATAAATGATCATATACAGAAACAAGAATTCATACAACAAGAATAAGCAATGGCAATTTTAGACAAGTATTTAAACTTTTGCCTGGGATCTTGTGTCTTTAGAGAGATCAAATACAGGTATCCCTCGTACAACATGGTTTTGCTCTAAGTGGTTTAAGAATTAGGGATACCCTTATACAACACACAGTGTTCTTACAATATGGTTTTGCTCTAACATGGTTTGAGAACATCCCTGAACAATAAGCCACAACTTTTTAAGTGAAACCCCATCATTTGATATTTTTATTCCAAGCAAGTATGAGTATTGTCTCATATTTGTCCATGGATTTTAAAATATTGAAATTTTCATTGTTGTTTCATGCCTTTCACCTAGTTTTCTTTAATGAGAACACATTGTACAATTTTTCTTCTTCCTTGTCCTAGCTTGATATTCTAGCTTTCCTATAAACCAGATGTCACCATCATTGGTGATAGTGCTCTAAATGACACAAGACTGTTGCCATGTTTTGTTTTTATAGATTAAATTAAAAGTTACTACATAAAAAAATGAAATTTTTAAAGATAGGCAAAAGCAAGCAAATGAAAATATCAGATTTTATGAAAAAAAAATAAATAAATAAAGTATAAAATTTTGCTGATACTTCAGATTAAGGATAATAGGAAAGCTCATAAAATAATGGTATTTTGCTAAAAACAATGTCCTCATTTAATGGTGTTAGTAGTGAAAAAAATTAATATTAACATGCAATACTTTTGATTGCAATTGTTAGTTAATTATTAATTGCTTTAATAATTACAAAAAAGAATAATACACTTTTGTTAACTTTTAAAACCTAATCCTATGTTTTGTATTAGCCCTTTGTTTCATATGACATGGATTCATATAACAAAGCATATTTTCAGAACTTAACAACCATATTATACGTGGTATAACTGTATACAGTAATACCTCGACTTACGCTACCCCGACTTACGCAAACCCGAAGTTGCGCGATTTTCAAATCTCGTCGATTTGTCTTTTGTTTGAGCTCCATGCAGCGCCTGATTACTCACTCCCCCCACACTATTGTTCAGCTTACATGTTCAGATGTGTCGCGCGGAATCGACACATAGCTACAATTTATTTTGTGTTATTTATTCCTGTGTTTGTTATATCTACAGAGATTCGAGAGACTATGTGGAGATTTCTTGTATCCGTGAACAAATCAAAAGACGAGATAAGATTAACGATAACATTTATTAGCTGACATATATCCGATTTGGATTTTACACAAATTGCGAAATTATACCGCGACTTACGCAAATTCGACTTACGCGGTTATCGCTCAGTCCCGCCTATCGCGTAAGTTCGGGGTATCACTGTATGTGCTTGATGATAATCAATCTTGGTTCATTTCTAGTTAAAATCCCAGGATACTTTCCTTTACCTAAACTTATATGAAAAAGACCTTATAAGTCCATGCTTGTATAGGGCCTCACATAATTTAAAATTGCCATTTAATTTTAGAATTTAATTTTAAAGTAAAGAAAATATTTAATTACCTGCATACGAAAAAGACTGGAATGAAACAAAGTTTCCGTTTCTTTTAAATTATTTAATTCTTCAGCTGTGGGTAATTTTTCTTTATCATCTTTTCTTTTCTTTCTACTAACTATGGAATTTGGTTGTTTTCTTTTTTGCTGAAGATTTTCAACTTTTTTGGCATCTTCAGCTACCTCACTGTCACTTGAAAAGTTATTGTCATCCTATAAATAGATATTTTATTAGGATATCTACATAGGCTGTTTTTTTTTTAAGATTCCGATGGTCCATAAAAAAGACAAGTGTAAACAACAAAATGAATTTATTACCAAAAGTAGATACAAACATGAAATATGGTTACTTTTTGACATAATCACTATGAAGATTTAGGCATTTGTCATATCTGTGAACATCCTGATGTATACCATATATTTCCGCAGATAAGACGAGGTATAAATTTTTGTCAAATTTTTATAGTTTTAGTATATAGCTGTCCTATAAGAGGACCCTCAAACTATCAATGGCTTATGAATTTAGTTTAGATCAGCGATCATCATCTGGGTAATATTGATAATACTGTATAGCATATACGGAATTATGTCCTATTTGTAATTTTTCGAATGAACAAATTTTATTTTCTTGCATCTGACAGTACTGCCTTGCAATTATTGCAAACATTTGCACGATTCGAGCATTCGGGTAATGACCTAGACAGTCGGCAACCTTTTGAGTCGGAAGAGCCAAAATTACAATTTACAAAATTTCAAAGTTTTTAAAGAGCCACAAAATTTTTTCTTGCCAACAATAAATAGTACTCGCATAAATAAAGTTTTTTGATAAAAAACTAATCTATTTATTCATAAGAAAAAATATCTATTTATTCATATATAAGTAGTGTTTTTCACAACAAATTAGATAATAGAAACATCCGACGACGGCGTCATTCGAGAGCTTCTGACGGACTGACGACAGTGACGACGCGTGTCACAGGGGAGGGGTGCGGTGAAAAGCGAGTACAAGTGGCTGAGAATCAGTGAATCAGTGCCTAATCCTTGTTAATCGATTCAGAACGATTTTTAAATGTTTTTTTTGATAAAATAAATAATATTTGCGTATGGAACTAAAGAGCCGCAGCTTCACATCCAAAGAGCCGCATGTGGCTCGCGAGCCGCAGATTGCCGACCCCTGACCTAGACTATTCACAAAAACATCATACAGAATATTTAAATACATTGGTGAGTGATTTGTTTTATTTTATAATGGTTTTAATTTATATAAATTTCATTCTACTTTTTTTTTTGTATCTGTCCTATAAGACGACCCCAGATTTTGGGACCTTTTTTTATGATTCAACTATCGTCTTATCTGCGGAAATATATGGTAACTAGCTAACATTTTCAGATAGCAGGCAATCTTTATTGACTATCTTCAGGTTAAAATCTGAAGAGGGCCAATAAATGTAACTGAAACAGTTAATTATTTATTATTTGAATTAATGGATTAAAAGTTATAACTTGTATACTTAAATATATCAATAGTGCAATTTATTTTTAAAATAAAAAAAAAAAAAAATATTAAAACAGTAATAACTTGCTCAAAAGGAATCAATCAAATAAATAATCAAAGAGCAAAGAAATATTAAAACACAAGAAAGTGATTCTTGAGAAAATCCTTGTCATCTTGAAAATCAAGGGACGAAATAACTGCAATTTCAAATCATCATAGATTTACTTATTTCTGTACAGTATGCCAAATGCCATGTAATTGATGCAATTTATTAAGGAAATGAAATATGGCTACATATACAGAATGCTATTAACAATGTAAATAAACTGCAGGTAAACAGCATATGTCCAGTGAGAACCTCATAGGTTGCCATGTAGGTTTTATAAAAAGTAAAGCAGAATTCCTTGAAATGTAGCCCAAATTATTTTTAAAGTGGCCCAAAAATAGTAAGTTGCCCATATTTAGTAGCCTAGAGCCTACAAATATCTGAATCTGCTACTTGTAGCCCAATCTTGCTATTCTGAAAACCAGCCATATTTTATGAGATAAGAGAAAAAAGGATCCTTATCCAAGGATGTCCATGTGTAACATGGACTATCCTTTTTTCTCTTATCTCATAAAATATGCACTCAAAAATGTGTTACTGTAAAAGCAAAGCTATATTGACCAGATTAATTTGTTCTTGGTCTATTGTTCTCTTATAGCATGGAGGCACTTCAATCTAAATAAAAGAGTTAGCACATGCATATCACAGTTCAGACAGAATTTTCATTTCAAATTTTGAATTAGCCATATTTCGAATTAACTGAACTCCTTAACATGTAAATCTCTATACACCTAGCCAGGACAAAAGTACAGTTATGAACTAATGGGATTTTGAACTATCCAAGTTCAAATTATCAATGATTTTTTATACTCTCTTCTACATCAAATTTCTAATTTTAAAAAATAATTCAGAAAACATTGTTGATATTTGATTATTTACAGTACAAATTCCATGTTTATTTATTTGATTTATAGCATAAAACAAGAAAGATTCTTATAAAAAAACTGTCATCAAAATTTGGAATAAATATCAGAAAAATTTCTAAATTAGCCCTAAAATTCTGAATCAATGTTTTGTAAACATATGATAGAAATTGTTAATCAAGTTATTTATTTAATTAAATCAAGATATATCTATCTTGATTTAATTAAATTGCTGTTTGTATTAACTTATTTATTATTTTTCACACAAAATTAACTTGTTTATCTTGTCTGCAAATGCTTAAATTATATTCAGCAAATTTGAGGTTTTGGGTGCTTCCAGTTACTAAGTGATTTGCATACTTTGCTATTGATAAATTTTGCCTATCAAATAAATGACTTTACTTACACTAATAAATAATTTATAATATTTTATTTTTCTCTTTCTTTTTTTCATCTTTTAATAGCAAAGAACTTGTAAACTGGGCACCACCATATTGCTACAAAACAGTATGATGAAGGTTACTTAGTTTAACAGCAATGACAATGTCATTTTAATCAGTGTTGACCAACAAGATGTTCTTGCTTACTTAGTAGCTGCATAACTGGAAGAACACTGTTATTTTTTCATCTTTAGCAATAACTTCATCAATTGAAGCAACAAGTGAAAATAGGCATATTCATTTTTGGTTAAAAACTGTCCTTTTGTCTTTTAAATTAAATCTTATGTTTTTAATCTAAAAAGTAATATTCACTACAACTTTATGATAGAGAAAGAATAAGTTTAATTAGTAAAGATTTAAATGTAGAAACTACAAAATCATATTTTATTTATTTAAATCTGTATCCTGTTTTACATTAAATAACTCTAATGTGAATAAAAACTGCTTTATTGAATTTCACTTTTATTGAATATAATTTAATTTCAATTTAAATTATTCAACTGAGATCCAATAAAAAAAATTTTGTTATTACAGTAGAGCCTCGAAAACTCGGCCTAATGTGGACCAAAGGGTGGCTGAGTTTGTGAAAATGCCAGGTTATCAGGAATGGGGTTAAAAAAAATAAGTATGAGTGTTTCCTCAGAAAATACTGTACTGTATTTGTATGTATTGTTTACTTGAGAATACAACAGAGAATAAACTGCCCAAATAACCTTAAACAAAGGAAAATACGTCTTTTATGAAGGCATAGAGCCTTTACTACATGAAAATGAAAATTAATGAATACACTGTACAGTAATTTACCTGATAAGACAGATCTCAGAAAAATACTTTATGAGGCATAATGCTGTCTTTATCATGAAAATTAATTAACTAAGGATTTTTTTGCCCTGCTAGGGTGTGGCCGAGTTATCCAGAGTGCCAGGTTATTGAGTGCCGAGTTTTCGAGGCTCTACTGTATTATGAAATTAAGTTACCATGTTAAAATCAAGATCACGATGAAAAAATTTGTTGGTTATTGTATGTCAGTATTATATCCATTCAATTAAATTTATTTCTGCAAGTAACTGAGACAAATTTTAATTATATTGTTTATATGTTTACATAGTTTTGCATATATTAATACGTTATAATTTGATGCTACAAAAATTCTGTGTTTTGGAAACGTCTATCATGTATGTCTCGATTATAAATAAAATTAAGAGAGAAAACGTTTACCACTCTTATAAATTCAAAATTACTAAGAAAATTTAAAGTTGTTTAAAACATTATTTTATTGATACCGACTTTAAAATTAACCACGATATATTCTCAATGAAAACTATATAACTTACCATATTTCGCAAGCTTTATTCAATATATTTCAATACATGACAAATACTTTCAAACAAAATAAATCATATATATTAATAAAACACGTGGATCTACGAGAAGCCGCACGTTCAAATAAACGTTGCCAGGTGCATTATAGGAACTAAAACATTATTATTAAAAAGAATGAAACTATTAAATTAAAAACTTAGTTAATATTAATATATTAATAAGTAATTTAAATGTAGAAAAATTGTTTTAAATATTTAAAAATTCAATATATTTTTAATTAGTTGATTAAAGTCTGACACCAACACGTGAAAACTATTCCGGCGGGACAGACCCAGTCCTAGAATATATTCCAGGACCTTGGGCCAGACCAACAATGAGATGATCAAAACGGGATGGACGGCCGGATAGCCGAACGACCAAGGTGACAGACTACCACTCTGGGGGACCCAGGATTGAATCCCCGAAAAATTCCTGGGAATTTTGGCACAATTCAAGCTCCGAATGAGGTGGTCGCGACCCCCAAATTATAGACCCCGCTGTGGGAACAAAATATTTAAAGGAACCACGAGATAAAGCCTATGCGTGACCCTCTATTGTGACCCTTCACGAGATAAAGCCCTGTATTTCCGGTCATGTGACACAGCGCCCAAAAGGAAGCCCCGGAACATCGCCGGCCAGTCTGGGATGTTAGAGACGATGTTCTCGTGCACGAGGGGACAAAGACGAAGGGCAGGGGAATAACGACCGCCCAGTGAGTAGTGCAGCTTGTGTATAGTGCGCGTGACCGAAGGATACTTGTTTGCGGATGTGAAACCTGGATTATGAGATTTTTCAGACAACATCGGGCGCCAACATCACCTTCGTCATCGACCCCCATGACCTAGCCGAGGCGGGGACCAGCGGCCTCACCCCGTCCTCGCCTACACAACATGAGGAATAGGCTAGGCGTCGCCAGGTAGCGAGAGGACGTCGCGAGAGACGCAGGAGGAGACGCTGTTGAAGGTGAATGCACAATCTGTTTTCTTGGCCTTTTACATAGGCAGTTTTCTTTAGTCTTTGCCGATAAGTGTCTTTAGAATATATGGCCGGCTTGCCGGGCTGCCTGTTAAACATGCGAAAGACTTAGCAGAGAGAGCGACGCGACTCCCGATCGCGTTCGCCGGATATGACGTAGGCGATTCTTTACAGGGCTATATCTCGTGCATAGGGGCATAGGGGATAGGGGTATGGTTCCTTTGACATTTTTGTTCCCATAGAGGGTCTACAATTTGGGGTCGCCACTCCTATCATTCGGAGCTTGAATCCTACCGGGATTTTTTTCACGGGAATTTTTCGGAGGTGATCTGACAGGATATGTCTGCCCCCATCCCTCACCATCCGGTCGAATCCATAATGGGTGTGCTAAAAGAGTGCTCTTAGCTCTTAGGTTTGCTCTCTTAGTGCCCACAGGACGGAAAGAGTTTCTTTTAAATCTGCATATTAACCCTAATACGAGATAGACAGAGATACTGCGCCACTGTAGCGAAAATATTTTTATACAAACAATATTTTTGAATAGTCTAAGGTGAAATAATTAAGATAATTTTAAAATATGAAAAAATAAATATACCAATAATTTTTAAAAATACATTTTGGTAACTGATTGGCCACTTCACTCCTAGACTTTAGTGGTTAGTGAAATCTGCTCCCGATTGAGGGCGTCCCATTCTATATTACGCAGGTTAATATCGTCTGTCATTAAAGTGTTTCATTGTAAGAAGAAAATTTGAAATTTTACCTTAATAAATTTTTCTGCAGTTCTCAAAAGTAAGTTGAAAATGCTTAAATCATATTAGAGTAAGGTTTGTTAAAATTGAGTTATTATTATTGTGTTTTAGGTTACTGAAGTTTAGCATTACATTATACCTTTTCCTTGCATTAAGATTGCAAAGAGCAATGGTTTTCAAAAATCAAATGCAATGTTAAAATTCCAGAATGAGATGAGAACGCTTGTTGCAGCTTATTTCGATCTCATTCGGTATTGGTTCATGACAATTATCCAGTTCGTTTACTTTTTCCATACTACTTTGTATGTTATCGAAAGACTTAGTTACTTCTTCGAAGAAGTAAAATGATATTGTTTCGGAATTTTTAATTGTCCATTTGTCACATTGCAATGTAATCTCGAATTCCCTTTCGTCGTCTGGATTATCACAATTAATAAAGTCGGAATATAGTTACTTTCAAGTATTGCATTGTTTTAAAGAATATCCATAACATTTAAAACTGCTTTTAGTTTGGTGACACGTTCTGCCTTCATCTGATCTTTGAAAAGCATTGTTGTTTGCAGCTTTGAGTGTTAACGCAAGGAGAAGTTTTTATGTAGAGATTGCCTTTGCATTCGCACAGCTTTCCTGTGCGTCAAGATTTCCGGATTTCGACTGTTCTTAACCCGGAAGTTGAAGTTTAATCGATGATTTAGAAAATATAAGGTCAAAAATGAGCGAAGTAAACAATCTTTTCTTAGAAAAGAAACAAATCATGAACGATGCGGTTCGTATCGTGCGGTTCGTGATGCCTTACCTCGACGAATACGGATTCGGAGCAGTTGCTGATGCTTCACAAAACATAAGTTGAAGTCGGTCTTCGAATCGAATGCCTGCAGCATTTGGAAAGGGTCGTAAAAAATCACAGTTGGATGTTTCACGCGAACTTCCGTTATTAGTGGCAACAGAATGTTTGGCGGTGAAGGTTTACATGTGACGATCAACCGACGTTTCTGTCTTCGCCGACACATCTAGATCATCTACGAGTATATACATATGTTTTGGTGAACGATAGGGGAAAGACGAACGCCCAGCGAACAGCGAAGCTGTGTGTGTATATATATATATATATATATATGGTGAGCGTTACCGAAGGATACTTGTACGCGAAACCTGGATTATATGCGATTGTTCGGGCTATCCCATCTTCGTCGACCTCCTGGAAATAGCCGAGGAGGAAGCGGCGGCCTTACTCCGTCCTCGCCTAAACAAGATCGGGAACGGGCTAGGCGTCCTCAGGTAGCGAGAGGAGGAGACTCTGCCGAAGGTGAGTGTAGAATCTGTTTTGTTGGCTTTTTCCATCGTCAGTTAGAATATGTTAGAGATAGCGAAATAGAAGTGCGCTCGGTATAGAGCGACGGCGGAGGAGAAAGCATTGCCGAATTAGCGGTAATAACCGGGCTTTTCTTTGGTCCTTGCCAATGGAAGTATCGTTAGAATACGGCTTGCTGCCTGTTAGACACGCGATAGGCTTAGCAGAGAGAGAGAGCGAGGCGCGACTCCCCATGGCGCTCCCCGGAAGTGGCGGTCCTCTGTTTAGGGTGGTTTTGGGAGTGTCTAGTAAGTTCTAAAAACCGGCAAAAAATGCCATGGTTTCGAGATTTAGTTCCGAAAATTTTCACTTTTGAATTTTACCCCATTTTTGAGGGTCTCAAATTTTCCACATAGTCATTTTCGGGGGGCCTTTATCTTGCGAAGGGTCGTTTGTACGGGCATGGTTCCATTGACTTTTTTGTTCCTATCGATATGCTCTACAGCTCTGTCAAAGTTCCAATCATGTCATCCTGTTCTAGATTTCATCCAGTTTAGCAGAACATTACACGATTGATGTAACTTTAGTTGCATTGCTACTGTTTAACAATGTCCCCATATTGCAACTCTGGTATAAACCGTACAAAACAAAAGGAAAGTTATTTAATTTAAAAGAAAACCAAGTGATCAGAGGGACAAAACTCCTAAACGAGATGATAAACCGTTGGCATTGTGTTATGTTTATTTCGACCGTTTTCTGTTAAAAACATTCACGTAATTAAAGGAAAATAAGTTGAAATAGAAAGAGGAAAATGGATATTGTAACCGCGAGAATGCACCTCCTATAATTTTTCCTAATCTAAATACTTTTCCCGGTTATTTAACATGAAAAAGAACATTTCAAGTGGAAGAAACAATCGCCGATGTGTAAGAATTTCGAAAACGTCGTAAGTATAACAAAATTTTGGGATTTTAATTAATGTAGCTAATAACTTGATTTTATGTAATAATCACTCTTGGGAGACCCAGAGCGATCGGCTGTGCGAAAAACCTCTGTGATCAAAAAGTATTGGGAATGGCTCTATAAAACGCAAGATTTTTTAAATTTATTCGTCAAAAGTTATTTCGTCTCCCTTTAAAGTAATCCCCTCCCACGGCATTGGCTTAATACCGACTTTTTTCCAATCCTCGAAACATGCTTTAAAGTCGTTTTTGTGAGACTCCTTCAAGATTCGCAGCAAATTTTGTTTCATGGCATCAATCGACTCAAAACGGTGACTACGAAGCGGAAGTTTTAGCCGAGGAAACAGCGAAAAGTCACGCGGTTTAATATCAAGTGAATACGGAGCTTGCGGAACCACATTTGTTGAATTTTTAGCCAACAATTTACGAACAACGAAAACATTGTAAGCACAGGTGCATTATCTTGGTGCAAAATCCATGAGCTTCACGCTTCTTTGAAGCGCTCGCTTGCACGACGAATCTAATCGAATTCCGCGTGTCATGGAGTGGAGTGAAAGAAGAGCAGCTGCGTGTCGTCCTTGGAAGCGGTGGAAGCGCCGCTTCCCTCATACAGTATTTTCTAAAATATAAATACATATTGCGCGATTATTTTCATATTTTAACGTACTTTAAATTAATTAAAATTAATATTTTATTATAACCGCATTATGTATCTTATTATAAATTTCTATACTACATGAGAAAAAAAACGATAAAATTGCAGTTGTATATTCGAATATCGGTGGCGGAATGGAAGCGCTGCATTGTCGAATACGGGACAGCTTCCTCAGTGAAAATATTTGAACGGTGTAAAGCAGTCAGATTATAGGCATAGCACCAACCTTACTGGTTTAGCTGGTAAATGCTACACACCAAAATACGATATAACGCTTCCAATGATTCTATCCAGGGCTGGTTCCGGGCTGTTAGCCGCCCGCCCGCTAGATATCTGGCCGCCCTCGCTATATTATGTGAACCGCGAGTAGATTTATAACTTAACTCAACGGATAGGAGTTTACTGGTATGTTTTTATGATCGTTCTGTATAGTTGACAGGAGTTTAAAAAATTTA